TTTGCAGTCTTAGGTTTAGATCTTTGTTCCATTTGGAGTAGATTTTTGTTAATGGTAAAAGATAGGGGTTCAGATTCATCTTTCTGCAGGTGGAAATCCAGTTTTTCCAGCACCATTTGCTGAAGAGGTTTTCCTTTTCCCACTGGATTGACTGGTACCATTTGTCAAAGATGAGTTGGCTGTATGTTTTGGGATTTATTTCTGGGGTCTCTGTTCCACTGGTCCTCATGTCTGTTGTTGTGCTAATACCATGCAGTTTTGATTATCACAGCTTTGTAATATATTTTGGGGTCAGAAAGTGAGATACCACCTGCTCCAGTCTTCTTGCGCAGGATGGCTTTAGCAAAACAAGGTCTTTTATGGTTTCAGACAAATTCTATGATTGTCTTTTCTAGATCTGTGAAGAATGTTTCTTGTAATTTTATAGGGATTACATTATTGCAATTTTATAGGGATTACATTAAATATGTAGCTTGATTTGATAGGATTGCCATTTTAATTGTATTAATTATCCCAATCCAGGAACGTGGGATGTCCTTCCACTTCTTAGTGTCCTTTTTAATTTCCTTTTTAAGGTTTTCATAGTTTTCCTTATAGAGGTCTTTGACTTCCTTAGTTTGTTTTATTCCTGAGTATCTTATACTTCTCATGGCTATGGTAAATGGAATTACTTTCTTTACATTTTTTTGTATTTTTGAGGGTTTTTCCTGAAATTAATATCAAGTTTAATTCCATCATGGTCAGAGAAGATGCTGGATATAGTTTCTATGCCTTTGAATCTGTAAAGGCTGGTTTTGTGCCCTATCATGTCATCAATCTTTGAGAAAGTACCAGGTGGGGCTGAGAATAATTTTTTTTTTTTTGGGTGGAAGTGCTATAGCTATCAAGTCCATTTGACTTATGGTATCATTTAGGTCCTGAATCTCTTTGCTTGTTTTTCATCTGGTTGACCTGTCTGAAGGAGATAATGGGGTATTGAGATTTCCAACAATTACTGAGTTACAATCTATCTTTCCTTTTAGATCTAGCAGTCTTTCCTTTACATATTTGGGTGCTCCTGAGTTCAGTGCATAGATTTTTTTTTTTAAAGCCAACAGCACACAGTATTCTCAGGAAGTCTCCCATCCAAGTACTAACCAGGCCCAACCCTGCTTAGCTTCTGAGATCAGACAAGATTGGACATGTTCAGGGTGATATGGCCATAGACAGTGCATAGATATTTATAAGCATTATATCTTCTTGGTGAATTAGTCCTTTTACTACTATATAATGCCTTTATTTGTCTTTTCTTATGGTTTTTGTCATAAAGTCTATTTTGTCCAAAGTCAGTATAGCTACTCCTGCTCTTTTTTTGGTTTCCATTTGCATGGAATAGCTTTTTCAACCCTTCACTTTCAACCCATACATGAGATGGGTTTCTTGTAGGCAGCAGATGGAGAGTTTCTGATTTTTAATCCATTCAGCCAGTCTGTTTCTCTTGATTGGAGAATTTAATCCATTTACATTCAATGTTGACCATATTCCTTGTTGGTTTTTGTTTCTTATTGCTGTCTGTCTCTATTTAATTTTCTTGGTGTAGTACTCCTTTCAGAATTTCTTGAAGAACTGGTCTGGAGTTGGTAAATTCTATCAGGTTCTTTATGTGAGAATGTTTTTATTTTCTTTTCCCATATGAAGGATAATCTTGCTGCATAAAGTATTCTTGGATGAAATTGTTTTTCATTTAGCATTTTGAATGTATTTCCCCATTCTATCCTTGCTCACATTGTATCCAATGAGAGATCCAGTGTTAGCCTGATGGAATAACCTTTGTAAGTAATTTGATGTTTCTCCCTTGCCAATCTTAGTATCTTGTCTCTATCTGTGATTTCGGTCAGTCTGGTTATGATGTGGCATGGAGAGGATCTTCTTGGATTGATTCTACTCAAAGTTCTTTGTATTTCTTGCATCTGGATGTTTGAGTGCCTCTTTAGACTTGGAAAGTTTTCTTCCAGAATTTCGTAGAATAGATTATCAATGCCCTTATTAGTTTCTTCACCTTCTGGGATACCAATTATTCAGATATTGGGGTGTTTCATGGTATCTAGTATTCCTCAGTTTTCTTGGCTGTTTTTTCAGTATTTTTGATCATTTTTTCTAAGTCATTGATTTTGTCTTCTACATTTGAAATATGATCTTCTGCATGGTCTAACCTGCTTTTGATACTTTCAAAGGAGGTTTTGAGTTCCTGTATTACAGCCTTCATATCTAACAGTTCCATTTGATTCTTTTTTATGGTGTCCAATTCTTCTTTCATATCGTGGAAGGACCTCCTTAGTTCTTGGAGCTCAACGTCTCTTTTCTCTTGCATCTCATAGAGTTTTGTTACCATAAACATTCTAAATTCTTTCTCTGACATTTCGGTAATATCCTCTAATATTTCCCTACTTGGAGACAGGTTACAGTGTTCCCTTGCTGGAGATGTACTACTTGATTCTCTCATCCTTGAGGTTCTTCTCTGATTTTTACTCATTTGGTGATGCATGCATTTTTGGGCAATTTGTTGGAAAAGGATTCTGTGACTGTGAGCTCATGTGTTTCCCCAACTGTGAAATGATTTGGTGTTATTTTCTCCCTTCTACTGTGTCCTCCACTGCGGGAATCCCTGGCGGAGTTTTGCAATCAGATTTAGGAAGGAGTACTTCACTCTTTTTGCAACCACTACAGTGAGTTGCAAGGAATTCTCTAAAACTCACAATGGTCAGCTGTTTAGCTACTATACCTTATCGTCTCTAGGCAGTGGGTAAGGGCTGAGCAGTAAAACAGAAAACGAAGGTAAAAGAAAAGCAACGTAGGCAATAGAAATAGGGAGAAAAAAAGAAAAAAGAAGGAAAGTACTAGAAGAAAGAGAGAAAAAAGACAAAAAGAAGGAAAAAAAGAAAAGAAATCATTTTGCAGAAAATGAAATTGGGTTAACAATGGAAAACCGTGCAGTGCTTCACGTGAAAGGCCAACAAAGGCAAATGTGAAGGTGCCCAGCTGCTTTCTGTCCTGGGTCAGGGGAGAAGAAAGAAATTAACAAGAGAAGGCACAGGCATGGCGGAAAAGCTTTTTTAAAAGAGAAAAAAAGTTAGAAGGGACAGAGACGAGCAAAGGGGATGGGGTGCTTGCCTACCTGGCTAACATAGGGGTCTTGGTCTCATCACTCAACACCCCTCATCAGAGACGAAGCTGTCAGGGGCCTTTGAAACCATGGAGTCCAAATGGTGTCCAATTTGGGGCTTCTGCCCTAGTGCCTCGGTTCAAATCCCAGCTCTGCTCATAGGAGCGGGGTTCCTGGCTAGGAGAGGGCTTCAGAGCCCTGAACTGAACCCAGAGGCCCAACAGAGGCTAAGGTGAAGATGCCTCTGTTTTCCCATTTTTTAAACAAGAGCTTTGGACTCCATGGTTTCAAAGGCCCCTGCCAGCTTTGTCTCTGCTGCCCTTATTAGTTTCTTCACCTTCTGGGATACCAATTATTCAGATATTGGGGTGTTTCATGGTATCTAGTATTCCTCAGTTTTCTTGGCTGTTTTTTCAGTATTTTTGATCATTTTTTCTAAGTCATTGATTTTGTCTTCTACATTTGAAATATGATCTTCTGCATGGTCTAACCTGCTTTTGATACTTTCAAAGGAGGTTTTGAGTTCCTGTATTACAGCCTTCATATCTAACAGTTCCATTTGATTCTTTTTTATGGTGTCCAATTCTTCTTTCATATCGTGGAAGGACCTCCTTAGTTCTTGGAGCTCAACGTCTCTTTTCTCTTGCATCTCATAGAGTTTTGTTACCATAAACATTCTAAATTCTTTCTCTGACATTTCGGTAATATCCTCTAATATTTCCCTACTTGGAGACAGGTTACAGTGTTCCCTTGCTGGAGATGTACTACTTGATTCTCTCATCCTTGAGGTTCTTCTCTGATTTTTACTCATTTGGTGATGCATGCATTTTTGGGCAATTTGTTGGAAAAGGATTCTGTGACTGTGAGCTCATGTGTTTCCCCAACTGTGAAATGATTTGGTGTTATTTTCTCCCTTCTACTGTGTCCTCCACTGCGGGAATCCCTGGCGGAGTTTTGCAATCAGATTTAGGAAGGAGTACTTCACTCTTTTTGCAACCACTACAGTGAGTTGCAAGGAATTCTCTAAAACTCACAATGGTCAGCTGTTTAGCTACTATACCTTATCGTCTCTAGGCAGTGGGTAAGGGCTGAGCAGTAAAACAGAAAACGAAGGTAAAAGAAAAGCAACGTAGGCAATAGAAATAGGGAGAAAAAAAGAAAAAAGAAGGAAAGTACTAGAAGAAAGAGAGAAAAAAGACAAAAAGAAGGAAAAAAAGAAAAGAAATCATTTTGCAGAAAATGAAATTGGGTTAACAATGGAAAACCGTGCAGTGCTTCACGTGAAAGGCCAACAAAGGCAAATGTGAAGGTGCCCAGCTGCTTTCTGTCCTGGGTCAGGGGAGAAGAAAGAAATTAACAAGAGAAGGCACAGGCATGGCGGAAAAGCTTTTTTAAAAGAGAAAAAAAGTTAGAAGGGACAGAGACGAGCAAAGGGGATGGGGTGCTTGCCTACCTGGCTAACATAGGGGTCTTGGTCTCATCACTCAACACCCCTCATCAGAGACGAAGCTGTCAGGGGCCTTTGAAACCATGGAGTCCAAATGGTGTCCAATTTGGGGCTTCTGCCCTAGTGCCTCGGTTCAAATCCCAGCTCTGCTCATAGGAGCGGGGTTCCTGGCTAGGAGAGGGCTTCAGAGCCCTGAACTGAACCCAGAGGCCCAACAGAGGCTAAGGTGAAATGCCTCTGTTTTCCCATTTTTTAAACAAGAGCTTTGGACTCCATGGTTTCAAAGGCCCCTGCCAGCTTCGTCTCTGATGCGGTGTGCTGAGTGATAAGACCCTTCCCTGAGAGGTCCAACATTACACATGGTGAACATCCTAATCCTTGCTGAGACCCCTTGCTTATCCTTGCTTGCAGCCCTTCAGACGTTCCTGGCCAAGGAAGATGTCTCCCAGGAGATGGAGGAGGTCCTGGCCGAGAGCCAGGTGCAGAGGAACCTCCGCTTGGTGTCCGTCCTGGAGCTGCTGAGGGCTGCCTTCGTCCGCTGGCAGGTCATCACTGTGATTGTCACCATGGCCTGCTACCAGCTCTGCGGACTCAATGCGGTGAGTGTCGGGCCAAGCTGGGCCTCCTGCACGGAGGAACGGGAGGGAGGCCAGAAGCTAGGGCAGTTTGGAGCTTGTGCCCTGGGTGCCTCGGTTCAAATCCCAGCTCTGCTCACCTCCATGAACTCTGTGCCAGTGAACAACCATGTATCTTGTCTGGTGCTCACTTTCTTTGTCTGTAGAATGGGATATCGTAATATTTTTTTTTGGGGGGGGGAGATTTTCGCTATAGGGCGTGTGTGCTCACCAGACAGACAGAGAGAGACATAGAGACAGAAGGCGAGAAATCACCCCCCCGGGGGGATGGTCACGCCGCAATCCCTTCTCCTCCATTCTCCTCTCGGGATCTTGGGCACGCACGCACACGCGCCCAACGTGAGTTTTAAGCCACCAGGTCCGGGACACGAACCGCAGTCGACTATGTGGGAATCCAGTGACATAGCCATTACGCTAACTGCTGGTTCCTGGGATGTTGTAATATTGAAAGACATAGCCCATTCAGTGTTCAGTTTAGCAGGCAGCACAGTTGTCCTTAATAAATGCTGCCTATCATTCTACTCTTTATCCTTAGGTATAAAGTTGCATTTCTTAATGAAATGGGTAATTAGGAAGTCCTCAGTGAGAGACGTTCAGATGATGTAAATAACAGTACTCTTGGCCATGCTGGCCTGAGAAAACCTCAAGGTTTCAAATACAAGTTTCTTGGGCTCAAGCTGATGTGGGCAGGGAAGTCTGAGAAGGTCTCCTCATGAGGCTTCCCAGCTCCTCTGAGGGACACAGCCATCCCTTCTCTCTTCAAGCCTCTGGAAGGTAGAATTCCTGAGAGAGAAATAGGGAAGCAGACCCCGGATCATCACTGTTGCTGCTCCTGGAGGGAAGCAGGATACCTGCAGGGATAGCGAGCTCGCACCTCTGTAGGTATGCAGCAGCCAGCCAACACCTGGCAGGGCTGCGTGGAGGAGATTGCATCAAAGCATCCAAACTCCCTCTGAGACTCGAGTCTCTCGCGTAGCTGGCGAGGCCGTGGCTGAACCCAGATAAAAGAGCTCTGCATTTACATGGGAACAGAGTTGGCATCTCCTGGAAGTTGGCACAGAGGTTGAGAGAAAGGGAAGAAGTCCTGTCCAGAGAGGGAAAACCACAGCCTAGAAAGTTATAACCATAATGTCTTGCCTCATTTCAACAACTCCTGGTTCTACTTTCAGTAAAACAAATAAAATAAGACCATCCCGCTACTCATTTGTTTCTCTTTACTCAGTCTGGCTAAGGTCAGCAGAATAAGAAGGCACCCGGGTCAACAGCGCCACTTAACCTGGGGAGCAGTGTTGGGCAAGTCCTCTTACTAAGACCAAAGTTATGCTGACTGGTCTCATGGCCACCTGTTTTTCTGAGAAGTGCAGACAGAGAATGTTTCATTTCTTAAAACTAACACTTGAAGGGTCAGCAGGTGGCATGGTGGTTAAAGTGCTAGACTCCCACATGGCTGCCATGGTTTGAGTTCCAGACCCAGTGGCTTGAAAATCACACCAGGCACATGTGTGTGTGTGTGTGTGTGTGCCCAAAATCCCCAGAGAAGAATGGAGGAGGAGAAGGTATTGTGGTATGGTATCTCCATCTCCCTGGAGGGCTTCTCACTTTCCATCTCTCTCTGGCAAGTGCATGCACCCTATAGCAAGAAAAAAAAAATTAAACTAAAAAACAAAACAAGCAAACAAAAAAGCAAAAACAAAAAACAAACACACTTGGAGTTTCAAAAACCACCACATATGGAAACCTGTATTTAATGAGGCATTTAGACTGAGAACCCTGACATTTCTAAACAGAATTCTCCCCTCCACCGGGACATAATTTTCCTATTTGCATATCCTATATAACTTTATAAATTCCACTAGGGTGTAACTGCAAGCCCCGCTGCATAAATACATGATAGAAGTAAAACAGCTCATCTGCTCCCAAAGCAGTAGGGAGGTCTCAGCTTTGGAGCATGTGCCCTCCTCGTGTTGACAATCTTCTATCTGCATGCAAGGAATGGTACTCCCAGCTGGCGTGCATCACTTGACACAGAGCGAAGCACGCTGGGCCAGAGTTGGAGGCCCAGCTCACCTGCCAGTGCAACCACAAACCCATAGTGAGAGTCCTGGGCCAACTGTGTCCCCTTCCTGGCCAGGTCCACTTAGCTGTAATGATAAGGACATATTTATCTAGCACCTAATGAGGGCTAGGGTCTGTCCCCACATGAGTCAGCCCCAGTGCTATGTGCAGAGACACAGACGCTTTTCCAAGTCCACACAGCCAGGAATAGTGGAAAGTGGACTTGAGCCTCAGCTGTCTGGCCCCAAAGTCTGGGTGCATAAATCCGAAGCAGAAAGCGCCCCCTCAGAGTATCCCCACGTCATCTCTAGGCAACCACTGGGACAAGTCTTACTTCTTCCACCTCTTCCTTATGTACAAAGGCTCATAAGCTGGCCAGTGGGAAATACCAACCTCACAGCCGAACCATCCTGGGCTTGGCCGCGCTTGCCCTGAGAGGCCATGGAAGAGACATAATGTGCACCCAAACTTTAAACACCCTTTACGATTTGCTTTTTCCCCTTAGTTTTTGTTTTGTTTTGTTTCAGTTTTGCTACAGGGTGTGTACGCTCTCCAGCGGCCTAAAAATCATGCTGGGAGTTCACCAGGGACACACACACACACACACACACACACACAGAAAGTAGAACTCACACCCCAGGGAGAATCGCTATGTCTCAATTCCTTCTCCTCCATTCTCCTCACCAGACAGACAGAGAGAGACAGAGAGACAGAAAGTGAGAAATCACTCCCCAGGGGGGATGGTCATGCGGCAATCCCTTCTCCTCCATTCTCCTCTCGGGATCTTGGGCACGCATGCACACGCATCCTGCGTGAGTTTAAGCCACCGGGTCCAGGACTCGAACTGCGGTCGACTATGTGGGAGTCCAGGGACATAGCCATTATGCTAACTGCTGGTCCCTCCTCATAGGATTTTGAGCACAAGTTCCCAGCATGATTTTCAGGCCGCTGGGTCCAGGACTCGAACTGTGAAGAGTAACATGTGGGATCCAGTCACCTTAATCTCTATACTACCTGCTGACCCTGCTCACTTTGGTTTTTTTGGTTTTTGGTTTTTGTTTTTTAAAGAACATATGCTATTAATTAATTTATTTTATTTGACCAGAGTCAGACTGGAAGAGAGAGAAAGTAAGCCATCAGGTCCGAGACTCGAACCACAGTCGGCCATGTGGGAGTCCAGCGCTTTAACCAGCACGCCAAAGGCTTGCCCTGAGAATACATATTCTAGGCTTCTCGGGGCATGCAGTCTCTCGTTACTCAGCTTTGCTGGTGTA